GTAGAGTGGGGGTGGTAGAGATCTGCTGTATATGTGGACCGCGACAGTGCCGTCCTCTACCTCGGCACGGACGAGGCGCTGGCGCCCCGCGTCTCTGGGGGCAAATTCGAGGTCGAATTCGGGGACAGGTGGGAGTGTATTTGCAGGCCCCGGATCTGGACGACGCTGTTACCAAGGCTCAGGAGAAGCTTCCAACAAAAAGGCCCAATTGAACGGGAAGGGCAATGGGCAGGAGAATGGCAAGAGCAAGTCCAAGGCATCCTCCGGGACAGCACCGATCGCGTGCAAGTAGAGACAGCACAGAATTCAGTGACATGAGGGGTGATGGTAACGAATTTGATAACAGTTGCATGTTTGAGCTGATATGTAAGAATGCTCGTGCGCATACTCATGACAGGCAAGCTGAGTTGTTAGCCGAATTGGACAATGCATCGCGGGACGTCGTGTGCATAACTGAAACGAGAGCGCAGACAGCCGACCAGGAGCTGGTCGGAGGACAGAGGTTTGTATCACACCTTGCTGAGTACAAGTACGCAGGTGTAGCCCTACTTGCTCATCGTAGACATGCTATGACTGTCGTGGATTGCCGGACCTTCGGGGGAAGGGCGCTTGCCGTGGACGTGAACATCGGGTTGCAGAAGCTGACAGTTCTGGGCGCGCACCTGCCGCGCGCTGGACACCCACGAGATATATTTTTGGATTGCTACCTTCAGATGGCTCCTGAAGCACGCAGGGCGAGACGGCGCCGTAGGACATTGATCGCGGCTGGAGACTTCAACGCGCAAGCTTTCATTGGACACAGGGGCGACTTGCTCAGCAACTCCTTGTTTGAACGCAACTTGATTGCTGGAAATGTTGACGATCCTGTGAACGAGTCGCGCGATGTGCAATGGACGTTTCGTTCCAGTCTTGGGCTGAAGCGGCGAATCGATGTTGTGCTACCGGCACTGACATGTTATATACATCGCGCCGTCCAGTAGACGATCTCAACCTTGGATCTGATCGCCGGGCTGCGAGACATCGCATGCTTCCCCGATCTGCCTCAAAAGCACCACGCCCGCAACTGCCAGAAGACACGGCGGGCTCCAGCACCTGGCCCAACAGGTGTTGATGTCAAGTTTTCGGGATCCGTGAACGAACATATGGCCACATATGCTTGCAATGCGCTTCGCGGCATCGAACAGGTTTAGACGGCAGCAGCAACAGCCTATACACAGGAAGAATCGTGCAAAGCGACAGCCAAACCTTGGAAAAGCGACGCGCTCGAGGAACTACGACAACAACGACGTAGATGTCAAGCCCCAGCCGAGCGTCGTAAGCTGTCAACATTCATCAGCCGGAGACATCGGAAATTACCCCGGCAACGCTGTGATTTGCGAGCTGCGAAGATATTGCGCGAGTTCAAGGATTTGAAAAGCTGCAAGATAACCACATGCACCCGGTCAGGCCGAAGGCGCGCTGCCCGATCGACGACGACGATTTCAAGAGCTCTTCGAGTCAAGTTTTGAACGCGGATCTGCCAGAGGAGAGAAGGGAATGGATCGACGAGATGTGCAACCGAGGCCCGCGTGACATCCCACGGTTCTCCATGAACGAGCTGCGTTTCGCACTCCGGAGAATGCGCCGAGGCAGATGCTCAGATTCAGCCAGGGTCACTTTGGACATGTTTCTCCACTGCGGGGGCGGCCTGCTTCAAGCGATGCTGGGATGTTTGAATTCCATGCTGCGCACTGGCGCCCTTCCTTCAGACTGGCAGGAGACCCTCTTCGCCATGCTTCCCCAGGGCGGCAGCAAACGTGAGGTCAATAACTGGCACCCCATAGCGATCCTGCGCATAACTTACCAAATGTTCGCGCGTCTGCTCTTCAAGCGTCTTCAGCCAAAGCTCGAGCAGTCGCAATGTTCAAACCAATGCGGGTTTCGCCCGGGAAAGTCAGTTGATGACGCCTTCATTGCTTTGGAGGAGCTCTGTTGCAAATCATGCGCGTGGGGGCAGTCCCTGTGGGTTGTCAGCCTCGACTTGACCAAGGCCTTCGGCCGCGTCGAGCATCCGCTGCTGTTCAACGCGTTGGTCGAGCAGGGTGCCCCAGCGGCACGCATCCGTCTCTTATCGGACATTTACCACAACCAGCGCGGGAGCGTCAACGGCAGTGGGCTTTTCGAGATCAGGGGCGTCAAGCAGGGAGACGCGCTGTCGTCGCCCTTGTTCAACAGTGGATTAGAGCAGGCCGTGGGGCGATTCAAGGACCGACTTCGTGGGAGTGGCATTGACGTTGGGGGGCCAGAACGTTTGACGAACATGCGGTACGCAGATGACCTGTTGCTGTATGCGACGATTGTTGGCGATGCAATGTTTATGCTGGAGATTCTACGCGAGCAGCTGTCAAGATGTGGGCTGGCACTGCACGCAAGCAAAACCAAAGTCTTCACAAACGACCCCAGGTACTCCATGGCCGCGGATGCCCTGACGGTGCCCTTCGGCGAGCAGACCCGTAATGCTTGACAGACATGCACAAATATTTGGGACGGAAGTTTTCTGGGAATATGCTGGATGGATCGAACATCAACGTCATCTATCGCATGGAGTGCTCGTGGGCCAAGTACCACGCCAGCCGGACAGTCCTGACCAACAAGAACATTTCTGACAAATTGCGGCTTCGTCCTTTCGACAGCGTGGTCTCGCTTACAGCCACGTACGAGTTAGCTACGTGCGCGCGCGCTGACACAGCAACAACGCACGCAGATTGCCGCCGCGAGAGCAGCCATGCTCCGCAAAATCGTCGGCTTCTGGAAGCGGCCAGATGAAGATTGGGAGGACGCCGGCAGACGCTGCAAACATCGTCTTCAGAACGCGCTGTCGCAGCACCCCGCTTCCGACTGGTAGCAGGTCGTTGACAGACTGCGGTGGCGCCTCGTCCACAAGACCTGTCAAGACGATTTATCGTGGCCGAAAGCGGTGATGAAATGGCTCCCTCTTTCAAGCAAGCGGCCCCGGGGACGCCCGAGGACAAGGTGGACAGATAACGTGAACAAGTATCTGAATAGCAAACACGCCACGTCGCTATCAAAAGTATTTCATGGCACGCGAGGTGTTCGATTAAGCACATTTCGAGGACGACTTCGTGGACTTCATGACCTCGCAGTAGCCTGCCTGCAATTTTCATGCATGTATTCGATTGATCAGAGGGGCGTGTCTCATTGCATTGTTCCATCGCCGTCTCCATTTGTGGGGCGCGTGCGGCCTCCGCGCGCGATCGGACCTGACCTGACCTGAATGGGCTTGCGGAAACTGATGAGCGGCTTGGCCTCCACACCCTCGGGCTGCACCTTGTGCTGGCTCTGGAATTCTGCGAGCGTGGCGGCGACCTCGGCATCTGCCCGTTGTAGTTCACTTCGCATCTCCTTGACCGTGAGCGCGAGCTCCTCTGTGGCAGCCTCCAGCGCTGCAGTTTCTCAAACTCGGCGTTGAGCTTCTTCTCCAACTTCTCCTGTTTCTGCCCTGCCTCGATGAGCCGCTGGCGTCCTGATGGCTTGGGCGGTGGGGCTGCACGCTCAACCAGCGCACCATAGCGCGCCGCCCCTTCCGAGTCGCCAGCCGCTTGAGCCATGCGCTGCAGCTCGAGCGCCTTGGACTGAGGTATCTCTGGGATGGGCCCTGGGGGAAGGGCCTGAGAGGAGCCCCCATGTCCTTTGCCCTTCCGTGGCTCACCTTTTCCACCCTTCCCTTTCTCCCCCGCTTTGCCAGCACCCTTGCCAGCCTCTCTTCCTCCCAGCGTAGGCTCGACTCAAACACCTCGGGCTGATGGGGACGGGTTCCGAGCTTCTGGCCGCAGTGCTTGCAGTGCTTAGCTCCCTTGGGGTTCTTATGGCAACCGCAGTGGTGACAAAGAATTTTGCCTTTGGGACTCGCCACAAGCTTCCAGTCATCACTGAACTTGTCATGCTTGCAGGGGAGGAGGAGGAGGAGGGAGAGGAGGAGGAGGAGGAGGAGGAGGAGGAGGAGGAGGAGGAGGAGGAGGAGGAGGAGGAGGAGGAGGGGGAAGAGAGAGAGAGAGAGAGCCGATCACGGCCGCTCACGCCCAGACCTTGCAAAAAGCGGGCGTTTACTTCTCGCCCGCATCATCCCCGACATCAAGTGGAGCAATCCAAGGACGAAAACCATGGCACAAGCATGAACATGAAACACATCAATGGCCATCACAGTGCCATTATGTTTGTTCCCCGAGCCTCTCACATCCGTTGTCCCCCCCAGAGGCCTCATAGATGGGGTTGGAGTAGATGGGGTCGGAGGATCGCGCCGCATGACCGATACATCGGCGATGCATCAGCGATGCATCGGCGATGCATCGGCAATGCATTGGCGATGCACCAGCGACGCTGGCGATGATCGGCGACGTCGGCGTGAAGCAAATCGGGCTCCGCATCGAGCCGCGTCGCCGCTGCATCGGCGATGCGGCGCTATCCTCCGACCACATGTACTCCGACCCCATCTAGGAGGCCTAGACATCGCCCCGAGCATCTCACATCCGTTGTTAGGGGAACAAAAATGACATTAACATAAAATCTCGGAGGTCCGCGCGGATTTCTCGGATCCACGACGGACTCCCCTCCATGTCGCGCGGAGCGCGCCAGGGGCGGCGCCGGAGGCGCCGCCAGGGGGCCCCAGCGCGGATTCGAGAAATCCGCGCGGACCTCCGAATTTTGAAGTTGACGTCATTGCTCGTTTCCCTACTTGTGCCCCCCCCAACTCGGGAGCGGCCAAGAGGGCGGTGTCCAAGAGGGGGAGGTGCAAATCATGACCGGCGGCATGTGCGCGGCCCAGCGGGGGGGCCAGGGACGTAATGAAACAAGAAGAGGCGCCATGAAATCTGGGGAAGTATCATGGCCCACGCCATGATATCCAACCCCCCCTAGTCATCACCCCCCTCTTTGCCGCCTCCGACCAACACCCAATCGCCCCTCCCTCCGACTCCTCTGGTCCCCCGCTGCCCTCCTCCCGCCTGCAGGCCCCGCAGCACCTCCTCGGCCTCGCTCGCGCCCTCCTGCTCGGCCCGCAGCCGGGCCCGCAGATCGTGGACCTCGCCCAGGCCCGCCGCCTGCGCAGCGGGGGCGGAGGGGCAGGAGGAGGGGGGATCGTTGAGCAGGGACCGACCGTCCCGGCATTCCTATAGTCCTACCACGAAATGTTTTTAGAACCCAAAAATGTTCTAAGAACAAAAACCATGTTCTTAGAACATAAGCCCGATGTGAGAATACAAAAACAGACTCCGCCCTGCCGCCTGCGCAGGGGGGGAGGAGGGGCAGGAGGAGGGCATTGGTAGAACTGGGTTTAATGGAACCTGGTTTAGTGATCTGTACCGGGGGCGCCCCCCCGTCCCATTTCCACAAACCGGAACTGCCGTCACCCGAAAAAACACAAGCTATGGCAAACCTGGTTTAGTGATTCTGGCCAAGTCAAAGGCTCCAGGGCCCTACCACTAACCGGGTCCCCTTATCCGGGGTCCTGGTCATACCCGACAGGAGGAGGGGGGATCGGGGAGGCGTAAGACTCGGGCACGGGGGACTCGGGCTGGCCTGACGGGGCCTTCATGAAAACAACGAGACCCAGTCTGAGCTGCGACCATCCCACGAAGGCTGGACCGTCAAAATCCAGGACGCACTCGTCAAAAACACGTCGGCAGACCCGAGTTCCGGCTTACTCGAGCGTTACGTTTCCCCGAAGGAAGGGCCTGAGAGCCGAGCGTCGCCATTGTGTTCACAGTGGGCGCCTTCGCAAGGATGCGGGCCCCAGGGCCGTCACAGACCGATCCAGCTCGAAAAGCGCGGCAGAAAGATTGGAACTAGGGCCTAGGGCTCAGGCAGTGATTTTTCGCGATGCGGCAACTTTGCACAACGTCGGATCTCAGGGGGTAAGGGGAAGAGGAGGGGGAGGAGAGGAAGGGCGGAGAACCAGGAGGACGGGGGCACCCGAAACGGCACCTGGAGTGGCCCCTGGGGGTCGGCAGGGGGGGATGGAGGGGGACAAACCTCCCTTTAGTACACATCCCCTTAGTGAATACGACCTGGGACCGAAACCGACGGACCTGGACCCGAAAAAATGACGGCCGCGACGCCCTCTTGCGAACCGAAAACGGCCAATTCCTCAATCGACGTGTCAGGGTAGGAGGTTTATCAATCTCTGAGGGGATGGAGGGGGAGGGCACCTGGAGGGACGAGGCCGGCGGCAGGAGGAAGAGGCACGGAGGAGAGGGCAGGGGGACGATGCCCGAAGGAAGAGGCATGCACACGGGGCCTCCGCCTCTTCGAGCGTCTGCCGCGCCGCCTCGAGCTCCTCTTGGCCGGGCCCAGAGCAAGAGAAGCGGCAACAGGGGGTAGAGTCGCAAAGCCAAAGCGGGATGCTGCAAAGAGAGCTCGGGGGGGAAACTCGAGAGAGCGGCCAACGGATCCGTATCCGCACGCTCGCGGTCTGGCTTCCGGGGCGCGCTCCCGCGGACGCGCGGTCGCACGGCTGCGTTCCGCGGGGGGTATCCGCGGAGCAGCGCCCCCTGACCGTGTGGTCGCGGCCCAGGGGCCCGGCTCGCGAGGCCGCGGGTGTGGTGGTTCGCCCAGGAAGCGGGGGGGGGAGAGGGCTGGCGGCGCGCAGAAGGCTGCTTCTTAGGAGGCCCGCGCCTTCCAAGAAGCAGCCTCTCTCTAAGAAGCCTTCCCCCCTCCCCCTACTAAAAATCCCTTATGAATCGTCCCCCGGGTTCGGTTTTTGGGGCGCCTTTCTTGTAACTGGGTGGGTCCGGTTTATTAGGGCGCTTTCTTTGGATTGGAGCTTAGGGGGTCTGGTTTATAAAGGCGCCCCGTCGAAGAGGGGGTCCGGAATATTAGGTCGCAGTTGGAGGGGGGTCCGGTTTTTTAGGGGGGGGGGGTCGATTAATAAGGTTTGGGCCTCCGAGGTTCGAATCTGTAGTGACCCCTGACTGCTCCCAACCCTGATGAGTCGGGAGGGCTGGACGCCCGGGATAACCGCGGTCTGGGGTAACTCCGGTGCGCGAATCTGTGGCTCTCCTCATGTCGGGCCTGTCCTCCGACAGGCAGATTTTGGAGGAAGAGTTCAAAATACTCTAGAAATGCCCCCAAATAGCCAGAAAATATTCAAAAATAGTCCCCCGACTAATTGTTTGAATATTTTTGAATATTCCCTCTGTAGAGGGGCAGGCCCAACTTAAGGCTATCCCTGAGCGCCCCCAGCCCCGAGGAGTCGGGGCTCTGACAGGAGGCGTCCCAGAGGCCTCCTTCCGTCCTCGGAGACCGCCTCTGAAGACGCTGGTCGAATAGAGGATCGACTGCAGAATAGGCTTACCCCAAAATGGATGTTCAGTCGACTCTACGAGAATACCTCTAATGTTCGTAGGTCTACGAACATCCTACTCCTTTCTCGCAGATTCTCGACGAAAGTTTCAAGTCTGGGGTAAGTCAATTCTGTAGTCGATCTCATTCCTACTCGAGTGAGGAGGGGGGGCAGAAGGAGGGGAGGGTCGGGGATCTACTGACCCGGGTCAATCCAGACCCGAGTCAGTCAGGCCTTGCAGAATCCTGCAAGATCCTGCGCCCAAACCCGGGTCAGTGCGAAGGATCCTGCAAGATCCTGCTGGATCCTGCACCCAAACCCGGGTCAATGCGACCCTGGCCCTGCAGGATCGGGCGCTCTGGCTGACCCCCGTTTGCATTGACCCCGTCTCAAGGCTCCCGAGAGGAGCGGGGGGGGGGGGGGGAGCCGGGGGAGATCCAGACCCGACGTCGTGAGTTTTCCCTACGGGTCCCTTGGAACTCCCACCCCTCTTTGCAGGGGCGGCGTCTTCCCTCCCAAGCCATTCCTTGGAAGGCTTGCAGGGCCTGGCGAGGGCACCCAGAGGCCGACAGGGGGCGGAAAACTCCCGCATCGAGCTCTTCCCCAATCAGTGCTTGCACTGAAAGGGGCCCTAGCGGAAATTGAAAGATGTAGCGGAAAAAATCCCGCCGATTTTGGTGGCCGTCTGGGTTCCTGGGTTCCAGGGTTCCCGAGTTCCTGGGTTCCTGGATAGTGGTTCCGGGCCGATTTCGGTGGGTTCTGGTTTTCCGGGTTGCCTGTCAATCTCCTGATCGACCAAACCATCTACTTATTGGGGTTTTTCCCTACCTAGGCTCTGCCTAGAAGGGTTCTTACTCGCTATGCTTAAAGGGCCGGGCAGTGCAAAACGCCCCGGGCGGTTCCCCCGGCATCCGCCCCGCGGTTCCCCCAGTGACGTTCCCTTAGCTTAGCGTTGCTTATCTCATCTTAGCTTAGCTTATTTCATCAGAGATTAGCTTAGCTCTATCTTAGCTCAGGTTTATCTTAGCTTAGCTTAGCTTACCTTCATCTTAGCTTCGCTGAGCTGTAGCATAGCAGAGCACAGCATAGCATAGCGTCGCCTAGCACAGCACAGCATAGCCCAGCATAGCAGAGCGCAGCATAGCATAGCACAGCACATCACAGCATAGCACAGCGCAGCATAGCATAGCATAGCATACTATAGCCAAACATAACATATAATATCATGGCATAGCATAGCATAGCATAGCATATCACAGCGCAGCTTAGCATAACATTTCATGACATAGCATAGCTTAGCATAGTACAGCGCAGCATGCTATAGCATAGCTTTGCATAGCATAGCATAGCGCAGCATAGCACAGCATAGCATAGCATAGCATAGTGCTGCATAGCATGGCATAGCATAGCATGGCAACTAATGCTGCTTTCCTAGGGGCTCCAACTTCTAGGTAGGGTCGCACTGGGGTAATTCTCTGGTATAAGCTAATGCGTGGGAGGCCTGGGAAGAGGCGGGAGGGGAGGGGGGGGACGTGGCAAAGGAGCAGGGTTTGCCGAGTCCCTGAGCCCGCGGTGCCCCCAGCTGTTCGCGCCAGTTTGGAGCCCCTCCAGGCCCAGGGGTGCTCCGTAAGCTGCTGTCAGAGGAACAACAGTCGGGGAGACGTGAGACTCGGGTTTGGGGACTCGGGTTGGCATGACGGGGCCACCATGAAAATGACTTGACCCAATCTGAAATTTGACGCGAGCTCCCGCTGCAGACATCCTACGAAAACTGCACCGCCAACATCCAAGGCACGCTCGTCAACAAGCGTCGGCAAACTCGAGTTGCTGCGTATTCGTTTCTCCGAAACAGAGGCCACCATCACCGAGAATGACTGGCCTCGATACAGTGGAGGCCCGACCAAGAAGCTCAACCCTGAGACCCCAGGACGTCCATGGATGTTTGGTGTGGGAACGCCACGCCTTTCCTTGCAGAACCATCGAAACCATCGAAACCCAGGGCACCCTGGAGGCAGGCAGGGTGTTTCTTGGCATGGGCCTCCACTGTAGATCTGCGACAGGCCCCCGATATCGAATCCGCAGGGTCCTGGGCGGGGATGGGCTATCGGGCCCTCAGCGGCGACCAATGGACGATTGGGGGTCCGTGCGCCCCCATCTGAGCCTGCGGTCGGGAACTTTTACATAGCGTGTCGCGGCGGCGGCCCCAGCGAAACGCTATGCCCTGCAAGCGGATAGCGTGACGCTCTGCTCTGCGGGGCGGGAGGCTCGGAAAAGCCTGGGACGTTACGGTCGGGGACCGGGACGCGGATGGCGTGTCGCGCCGCAGCGTGGACGGCCAGATCCGGTGGCGCGACACGCTATTATCAAGAGTTCCCGTCCGCATCCCCCCCAATGCAGTCGGACCTAGGCCAGAAGAAGACTCCTCAAGAACATGGGACCCTCCGGTGGCCAAAAGACACAGAACATCCAAGGGTACCGTACCCTCCCCAGGATGCTCAAGAGCAACCAACAAGCACGACAAAACATGATGGTACCCTCCCCGAAGGAACCTCGATCTCATACCTGGGTCCGACTGTAACGACTGCCCCTGGCTTTCGCGTGCCTCTCTTTTGGGGGAAACCCAAAGGCACCGATACCGCTACTCCCCAGACCTCTCCTGGGGTGCGTTCTGACAGGATTTCCAAGCGAACCCAGCGGTGGCGACGAGCGCCGCCCAGGAGGCCCAACAAAGGGAAAACGAGGCAAGGGTAGAGGTATGGGTTGAGCAGGGACCGACCGTCCCCGCATTCCTAGAGGCCTGCCACGACATGTTGTTAGAACCCAGAAATGTTCGTAAAACAAACACGATGTTCTTCGATCATGGACCTGACGTGTCAAAACAAGAAAGTCTCAGCCAGAAATGTTCTCAGAACATGTTGTGCAGATCACAAAAAGGCTCTTAGAGCATTCTCTTGTGAGCCTATAGGCGAGCCAAGACGCCCCGCCACTGCTTGGGTATTGGATACGTTTTCCTTCTCTGATCTTCTGGGGATCTTCTGACCCGGGTCAATCCAGACCCGGGTTTGTCAGGCCTTGCAGAATCAGGCAAGATCCTGCGCCCAAGCCCGGGTCAGTGCGACCTGCAGGTTCCTGCAAGATCCCGCGCCCAAGCCCGGGCCAATGCGACCCTAGCCCTGCAAGATCCTGCAAAATCTGGCGCTCTGGCTGACCCCCGCTTGCATGGACCCCCGTCTCTTGTTTGGACGCCCGAAATGGGTACGGAAAAAATGAGTACAATGCCCAACAACACGTTGTCCCAAAGCAGCAGCGGCCGCTGTTGGGCAGGCGGCCTTCTGCCTCGAATGGACTCAGGCCGCGGCGGCGTGGACAGCGAGCCCTGTTCGGAATGAGCAGGAACTGCTGTTGGGCATTGTACCCGTTCTCTCCCTACCCACTCCGTTCGTGCCGACCTTGAGCCCCGAATCTTTCGGGCGCCCGCGGCGCCGGTCCTCCTCCGCCGCCCCCAGCGCCTCCTGCCACGCCTCGCGCTGGCCAGCCGCCGCCTCCGCGGGGGGCGGCCGGGAGAGGGGGCGTCCGCCGAGAGGGGGGGGCGCAAAGCGTGGCCGGCGGCCTGAGCGCGGCCCAGGGAGGGGAGGGGGGACAGGGCGGCATAGAAGGGAGGAGAGGCGCCATGCAGCCTGGGGAGATCGCACGGCCCCCGCCACGAGGCCCACCCAGCCCCCAGTCTTGTGTCGGGCATGTCCTCCTACAGGCGGACTTTGGAAGAACAGTTCGGAACACTCCAGAGATCCGCAACACGAACCAGAGGTAGCCGGAATATCGCCCCCAGGCTATTTCTTGACTATCTTTGAATATCCCTCCTGTAGAGGGACATGCCCGACCGAACCCTACAGTGCGGGCGCGGCCGCAAGAAACCATCGCAAGAAACCCAACCCTGAAATCCCGGGCGCGAGGTGCACCTGAGGGGAGACCCGGAGCACCCTGAACGCAGCAGCTTCTTTAACGGCTGCGGGAAGTCACCGCGCAGCGCGCGGAGCGAAGAAACCAAGGATACCCTGACGAAAAGCATATGGTTTCTTGATGCGCGCCCCCACTGTAGTCATCTCCCCCCTCTTGGCCGCCCCCGAGCCTCCTCGGCCGCGCGGAGCTGCTCCTGCAGCTCCGGGACGGCCTCCGCGCCTCGGGCGGCCTCCGCCTCCGCGGCGGCGAGCCTGCGCGCGCTTCGGGGCGCAGCTGGGCCCAGACCTCCGACGTGATCGACGAACTCCCCGTCTCCTCCTCCTCCCCCTCCTCCTCCTCCTGCTCCTGCTCCCCCGGTCGACGTGATCGACCTCCTCCTCCTCCTCCTCCTGCTCCTCCGCCTCCTCCTCCCCTGCTCCTCCTGCTCCTCCTGCTCCTGCTCCTGCTCCTGCTCCTGCTCCTCCTCCTCCTCCTCCTCCTCCTCCTCCTCCTCCTCCTCTTATCCTCCTCCTCCTCCTTCCTCTCCTCCTCCTCCTCCCCTCCTCCCCTGCTCCTCTCCTCCTCCTCCTCCCTCCTCCTCCTTTCATCTCCTCCTCTCCTCCTCCTCCTCCCCCTCCTCTCTCCTCCTCCCCTCTCCTCCTCCTCCTCCTCCTCCTCTCCTCCCCTCCTCCTCCTCCTCCTCCTCCTCCTCCTCCTCCTCCTCCTACTATTCCTCTCCTCCTACTTTCCTCCTCCTCCACCTCCTCCTCCTCCTCCTTTCTCTCCTCCTCCTCCCCTCCTCCCCTGCTCCTCCTCCTCCTCCTTTCTCTCCTCCTCCTCCTGCTCGTCTTATTCTTTCCCCACATCCTCCTACTACTATTCCTCCTCATCCTTCTTCGGCTCCTCCTCCTCCTCAGGTCCCCAGGTCCCCCACAGTCCGGTAATTTTCCTTCGACTTCGGCCTCTGGATCCCGGGACCAGCATAGATGGACCCGGGGCGAAACCTTGACCCTGGGGAAGGGGTCGGGACCTTGGGGACCGAGCATGGAGAAGTCGTATCGGCGGCTGTGCGGGTCGGTGCAGGAGCTTTCCCCCCGTTTCGGCCTCCTAGGGCCCAGGCCGCGAAGGCTGTCAGAAGACAGCTCGGGGGCCCGGCAATGGAAGACGCACGACATCGGATGTCCGGGGAGGCTCGTGTTCCAAGGGGGGGGGGGGGGCCGCCCCCCGCTGACCGCCTCCCCCAGTTCTGGACGAGGAGGCGGCGCGAAGGGTCAGAGCGTCCAAGATGCGGCCGCATGGCGCCCTCCACCTCGCCTCCGCGGATCGACTATGACGGGAGACTAAGATTCCAAGGGTTAGGGATTTGATTTTGTCCGGGCCAGGCGTCCTACCCCGCCTCCTCCCCCTCCTGCTTGTTCTCCTCCCCTCCGCAGTTCATCGCCCTCCATCAGCAATCATCCTTCTTCCTCCTCCTCCTCATCCTCCTCTCCTCCTCATCCGCCTCCTTCGCCTTACCAATCCCATGCATCCTCATCCTGCTCGGAACTTCCCTCAGTCAAGCCACCAAACGTATCCGTAGGCTGGACTGGGCGTTTCGTTTGAGACATCCTCACAATACATCGTAGCACCCCGCAAGTGCGGTTAAAAGTGATGGGGCGGCGGGGACGTCGGCAGTCTGCGAGGCTGTGAGGAAGCTTACAGCAGGTGCCAAGTTTCAAATTATACGGTGAGCCCGCCGCAAGCGTCGATTGTTTCGATGCACCAGTGTGGGCGTGTCGCGGGTGGGCCGCGGGTAGGTCGCGGGCCGGATCGCGGGTGGGTCGCGGGTGGGTCGCGGGTGGGTCGCGGGTGGACCGCGGGTAGGTTGCGGGTGGGTCGCGGGGTGAGTCGCGGCGTGGGTCGCGGGTAGGTCGCTTGTGGGTCGCAGGTGGGTCACGAATGGGTCGCGGGGAAACCACGACAGCAAACAACATACAACAGACAAACATCAACAAAGGACAAGCAACAGCAGCAGCAGCAGCAACAACAACAACGACAACAGCAAACACACCAACACCAAAAACAACAATAACAACAACATCAACAACAACAGCAGGAACAACAACAACAATCATCTTGAGACGATTCGCTCTTATCTGCTCGCGGGCCATTCAACACGTATGTCCCGAACCCTCGATACCCGCCCTCTTCGTCTTCGATCGTACCCGCTTGGGGGTATAGATCTTACCTGCAACGTGTATTTCGTGCAGCCCCCAAGGCAGGGGAAAAGAGGATGGATGGAAGGAGTGGGCAAGATGGAGGGAGGAGGATGGAACACGGGATTGGCAGGAGAGGAGCAAGGAGGAGAAAACACGTGGCAAAACCAGGCGGGCAGATAGACCCTAACGGGCGGATCGGGAAGGCGGGTCCAATCGGCCAGGTCGAGCAGAAGGCTTTTAAGCATGATGACTGCACGAAGCGCGAGGAAGTCTCGAGCGATGGCGCGATTCCCAAATATATCGTGAGGAAATCCACAGAGAGAGCGTGATTCCTGAGTGTCGAGGGCGCGGCGCTTGAATACACTGCAGGGAAGTTCCACGCAAGAGCGACTTCTGCATACATTGTGAAGATGCTCCGCGCGAGAGCGCGATTTCGCAGTAGCTTATGCAGAAGTTTCAGGCGGGAGCTGCTGTTGTTGTTGTTGTTGTTGTTGTTGCAACTCGAGGGCCAGGTGCCTAGTTTCGTGACCCCCAATTTCCTTTTAAAAAACCAGGTGCAAACCCCGGGCAGGGCACCTCAATTGAAAAACACAGATGTGCCCCGGAGGGGAGTTCAACGATAATGAGTCGTTCAATGGTGATAACTCAGAAACAGCAAAAACAACAAGGAACAACTGCGCGTGAGTGCCCCATGGTCCCAGACCTCGTTCCCCGCGTTCCTCCCTAAGGCGGAACCGCGCGTCTGTGCCCCATTGGCCGGTTCGGACCCCCCCCCCAGCAACCAGCAACCAGCAACCAGGAGCTTCGTTCCCTGCTCCGCTGGCGAATTGCTCGCTTAAAGGTGTGGATTCATCCTCCATGCCATTTTGCCGTTTCTGCACCAGCGAAGCTCCGGAATCTACGGAGTCCTATCATATCCTGAGGGGTGGATCCAGCTCTAATAGAATCCTATTCCTGGTGGATCCAGCTCTAATAGAATCCTATTGCTGGTGGACCGAGCTCTACTACAATCCTATCAGTGGTGGATCCACCTCTACTACAATCCTATTAGTGGTGGATCCACCTCTGTTGGGCCATGGAGCTCCCTGTTGGGCCAAGGAGCTCCCTGTTGGGCCAGGGAGCTCCCTGTTGGGCCAGGGAGCTCCCTGTGTGGCCAAGGGTACGATCCTCAAGATGGGTGTGCCGAAATGAAGATTCGGTGGAGCTCATTGTGAGGCCAGGGCCACGATCCTCGAGAGGTGTCCGCCGAAATGAAGCTTCGGTGGAGCTCCCTGTGGGGCCAGGGCCACTATCCTCGAGAGGGGCGTGCCGAAATGAAGCTTCGGTGGAGCTCCTTGTGGGGCCAGGGCCACGATCCTCGAGAGGTGTCCGCCGAAATGAAGCTTCGGTGGAGCTCCCTGTGGGGCCAGGGCCACTATCCTCGAGAGGGGCGTTCCGAAATGAAGCTTCGGTGGAGCTCCTTGTGGGGCCAGGGCCACGATCCTCGAG